AGTACCAAAATTTACATGTGGCAAATCAGTAAGATCCTCATGGAAACCATCCTTAGGGAAAATATCAGTAACATGTGGAGGGTCTACTTCATCTATTAAACCCAGTAAGACTTTCTTTCGCGCAAGATGCACACCTCCATCCGGATCTCGTAAGGTTTTTAAATGAAGGCCTCCCTTGACATAGTCGTTATATCTAAAATAAACCGTAAAGCAAGCGATGCCTTCCTATTAATTTAAGCTGGACAGTTCAAAATAACAAACCCTGACAAATGATCAATAACAAAAACATCGTCTGAGCAAACCTCTTGACAAGATCGGCTTTCTTGCCGCTTGTTTTCGCTCCTCTACACAACAGCCATCGTCTAAGCTGTGGTACAGTACACTCTTCAACGTTTTCCCGACGAAGCTTCGCTCCGGGAATGTCTTCTTCGATAATAACAACTTTTTTGGAAAAACTGGCTTTCTCTGCCGTCATTTTGAAGTTTCGCGCGTCCGCCCAAACGATCCCACAAATACCCTACGAGTCAAGTTCGTGCCCAGATTCCTCATAGTTTCTGGAGTGGGGAATACAATTAATACATTACTAATACAGTTAACATATTACTAACACAATTAACACATTACTAAAATTACTGACAAATCACTAAAATTCCAGAAAATAAAATAAACAGAACAAACATGTTTTAAGTAGAAAATAAGCCTAAGCGACCCTGTCACACTCACATATCTTCTCTGTGATTCTCGTGCTGCAGATCCAGCAAAGAATGCATGGGGAAAATTAAATTATGCAATACTGTAAAAAAATATGAAAATTATGGACTTATTTAAACTGCCATAAACTAGTCCCAGATACAGAACAAAGGCATAAAAGAGAGGAAGTTCTAGAAAAAAATATAAAATGCCTAAAAGAAGTTATGTTTGATGACATTTGTCAACTCTACTTTCCTTGTAAACCATGCCCTATAATTCTTGATAAATTCTCACAAATTGTGTGTCGCTAACTTTCCTACCTAACTTGAACAGCACAAATCTACATCATTACATCCTAATGTATGGGCCCTGTATCTGAAAGCTAGTTCTCCTAATTGATGATGATATATTTCTCTATTACTGCCCAATCCAGAGAATGTGGTATTGAATTGGAACAATCTTATTTCTCCCAAAGGCTAGTTAATAGGTTCCTTAATTCTCACTACCTCTTGTATGACAGTCTTAATAGAACACAGCAGGGGTAATTTAAATTCTAATAACTACTGAGAGTCAACGTCTATAGATCTTTGTCTTAAATTTTTTAGTTCTCTTGCCTTAAAATAATAAATACCAAAGCTGATCTTTAAATACTGTTCAAAGAAAAATTAATAGATTGATATTCCTGATTTTTTGTAGAAATAATATGCTCAGTTTCTTATAAAATACTTTTACTACTGAGAACATCTGAAGAACAAGGTATGTCGTGTTTGCATAATTTGAAGAAAATCAAGGTTGCATGGCCACCGATGTGCTGGCTAACATGTTGACAGACACATCAGCTGACACACCAATGACACACTATCGATGCCAAGCAGGAAGGAATGAAATATTGTAAACATTGGCATATCAATGGGTTTTAAAGCTCAAGTTGGAAAAAAAGATTAATCATTACAAGAAGGATTGCCTCAAAGATTTTGCTGTTATGTTTTGATCGATCGTTGGCTCTATATTTATCAAAATAAAACTGTATACCTCCTTGAATACTATGATGTAGGTTTTCTTTGATGCTAGCACTAAAACTTCGTAAATCAAGTAGAATATAAGTGAAACAGGACCCCTGGGAAATCATAAGGGGGTTAACAAGTTTGTGGAGAGGTTTGGGAGCAGTATAGAAGGGTTGGAGAGAGTCACAGGAGGGGTGTGGAGAGATGCGAGATATAGGGATATAAGGAAGCTGGGGGAGGGTCCTGGGGTGCTCCTGCCCCCCCCCCCCTTTGTAAGCCTATTTCTAAGCTTCTAAGCAAACAACTTGAAATCCTGTGGCGAGTATTCTTTGATTGACTTAGTGTGACCTTTCAAAAATTCCTGGCTACACCCTTGTCACTCCTCTCAAATCAGTCTTGTTTCTTACCCAAATCCCTGTGTCCACAACTGAATAATTACTTAAATTTGTTCAAATCTTGGTATTCCTCACAAAAAACTGAAAGTCCAAGAGACGTCAAAGAACCCATGCATTTCTCGCAAAGGCTAGGTAATGTAGCCCCTAGTGTTGTGGTTTGAACTTGATGCCAAAATTGCCATGGGGGCATCTGCAAGAATTTCCTTAGAAAATTGCAAAATTGCTCAATGAAGTTTGGCCAAAGTCCCCATAAAGTGTTGTGAAGCCCAGAAGGGCGCTATCATCATAATTTTTTGTTTTTTTTAAAGTCCTAGGAAAGAGCTTCTAGCAATATAGTTGGGCAAGAGAAAATAATGGGATATTATTTTCTTTTTTTTTCTCTGAAGTAGAGGTTTTAAGTTATGACATTTTTATGTAATCCTATCAACTGATTTGTGACATGAAGGTAAGCTAAGGTAATTGCTTTACAAACACAACGTAGCAGATCCTGTTCAATACCCACCATTAGTTTTAATTTAGGAGTTCATTAAGAAAATTATAAAAACTCATTTATGCAACGATCAATTTAGAGCTTCAACATGCCCCCAAGCAACCCGCGGACGTTTGACTGTCGTCCGCGCTCGGGGGAAGGGGAATTTTAACCCTATTTGGGTGGGTAGGACATTTAAACAGGAAGTGTTTAGTCTTTTTACACGTGTCTTGTGGAGGAGGTTATACGTATAGAGTCTGCTTTTGTGAGAAATGACCTGACAATTTACACATCGTAAAATGATGATTGCAAACGAAAAACTCAACAGATGTACCAAAAACTAACACGAGACTTTGCCAAATTCTACAACATTCGTTGATCGCACATAGAAACGTTAGATATTGAGTAGGGCATTTGAATGCAATTTTGGTCTGGAGGTGGGGGGGAATTCAAACAAGCTAATCTTCAAAAGTTGCCCATAGGGGATGTTGAAACTTGGAATTGATCGACGAATAAGTTTACAGTAAGTAATGAAGACTGCTTAGGATCAGCGGCTTAAATCATGGAACAAATTAGCGTGAGCCTCTTTCGAATTTTAAAATTTAAATTCTATTATTATTGCCCACACTATCAAATTCCGGTGATTTGAGGGCTGCTTTGCCTATATTAAAATGATAAATGCCAGCTACAAATCTTTTCTTTCAGATCGCTCTTAAGGCTCCATATCATGGGCAGAATATTATAGATCTGTAATATAAGCGGCGAATGGTAAACAGGGAGGCTCTGATCTGAGTAAAAACCTCGTTTCTATAGTCTTTTAATGGTGGAAGGTCGAGAGACCCTGGGTATGAAATTGGACAAGGTAACTTTATTCACACTGAAAGTGACCGCTGTTTTGTCCTGTTGTTGAGAGTTAATCACTTCAATTAAAATTCAGGGTAATCAAAACACTCGACTTCATGCTGTTCAATTCACAATCGTTGTGCTCCTGTTTAAAGACTCGATCATAATTGAGGAGAAACGACCTTTTGCAGAATGACTATCCTTCCGTTCTACTGGTAACTGATATTGCATCATGCAAGTTTTACATGGTTTTCATTACTAATCATTTTTCCTTGAAGGACGAGGGGGAGAGAGGGAGAGGGAGAGAGAGAGGGAGAGGGAGAGAGGGAGAGAGGGAGAGAGAGGGGTAACGTGTTCCTGGTGGCCCCCTCTTAGGCACACCCTTTGTTTGGACTTTAACCCGGGCCATTTGGAGTGGTCAGGTACTGATCTGAACCCCATCCGTAGATTAAATCATGTAACGTGATAAAAGTTTGGGCCGAAAATTGTTATGTAACAAGTTGATTTTTTCGCATAGTCGTACGCTAACAGACCAAAGTTGTCCTGCTTCAAAGCGTCCGAGAAGTAACATCTCCATTTCTTGGCTCTTGAGTTTTCCGTTCCGTCAAACAGAGCATACAGAGGAGATGAACATCCATCCTTCGTCATTCCCTCACAGAAGAGATTTCTTTTGGATCGGATTAATTCGTCTGAAAAGGGAAACCAGCGTAAAGAGAATGCGCTATTTTTAATTTTGAAACCTTTTGTAAAATTGCATTCTCAATTTCGGCTTTAGAACGTGTTAAAAATATTGGATATCGACCAAGGAGATCTGATGCATCATGCATCATAAAATACTATAACTAGTAGATGAATAAGAGAATGACAGAAATGAAACAACTAAAGCCGCAATTGAAAGGAGAGTACCTTTTATTTTCCGAAGCCCTAAGCCGAGATCTTGTTGCCTAGGTTACCTTTAAACGTAACCAAGTAAACCTCAGAAAAGGTAGGAAAGTGTTTTTATCTGTATCACAATACCAATGTCCCTTGACGAAAGGCACACAATTTAAAGACAACCTACAGACCTGGAAACGTGCATTCTGCCGACGTCTCCCTGGTAACTTGACCCACCACGTGACCGGAAAGGAACGATGACCAGTCGAAAAAGTTTCCTCCCGTTGAATCGCATCCTTGATACATTGCTTGGATTGTGGCCGTATACAGCGTCCTGTTCCAAATGTTTAGATGGCTGATCTCCCCGACAAAAGCTTGCCCTTCTTTAAAGACGTCTTCATCAGTTTTGTATCTTTGTCCGAGCAATAATTCACCCTTTCCTTTGATTTCCTGATAATTTAAAGGTCTCTTTTAGTAAGTCATACAAAAACAAATTATAGGTATAGGTTGAGTCTGTACTCAAGGTAAATGGCCCATTGAGCAGGAGCTTATGAGAGGCTAGTCCAGTGCAGGGCTACCCCCCCTGCACTGGACTAGCCTCATCATACTTCCTTATCAATGGTTGGCATTCAAATATTATCCTGGGAGGAGAGAGGCAATGTGAAAGTAAAGGTTTTTTTGCCCAAGAGCACCTTGCCAGGTCTCGAACACCGTTTGCAAAATGTAACCGCCTCCCGGTTAGCTCAATTGGTTAGAGCGCTGGACTGTTGTGTGGGAGGTCGAGGGTTCAAGCCCCGGCCGGACCAACACTCACGGTCTTAAAATAACTG